TGAGGTTTGAGAACATGCGAATGCACGATTTTTGCACTCTGTATGTTTCCGTGGGCTGAATCAGCAAATTCTACTTTTTGCGCATATTTAGACTCGTCACCTTTATTTATAGCCACGCATGATGCAATTATTTCTGACGCCACGCGATGTTTTGCCAGAGGACGGCGTTTGGTAATGAAGACCGGAGCCCGGGCGTCGCCAGGCATTGGCACGGTGCCAGGGCGCCCATGGGGAGGGGGAGGGGAAGGAGGCCCAATGTGACCCCAATGACCCCAATGAGGCTGCACATTAGGTGAGAAGAACACTGTGCACTCCTTGCAGTAAAACATGCAAGCTGGGCACGAGACAGTGAATACCGCCACTCAGGATACACGCACAAGTAACGCAAATAACGCAACGTGAAGGTGCCGATAACGCCACGTCACGTGCCGGTCTGGTTCTACGGCCAGATTACCTTGCCACATCCACACGGCACAACGGGAACGGCCCCTCAAACACACCAGAGAGCACGCATCGCGCGCCGGCCGCTCGCGCCACACGGCAGGACGTGCGCACGGCGCGTCAGGAAGTGGGCACCACGAGCCGAGACGTGCACGCTTCACACCAACTCGTGCACGCTTCACACCAGCCCGTGCACACGGCCCACGAGAGGCACCGGAAGAATAGCAAACAGAGGCTCTGACGCCAGGCGATCGGCACCGGACGTGGGGACAAGGTGCAGTCACCATGTGCTTCAGAGGAGCTGTGTCACAGCGGCGGAGGGAGGAAGCTGCGGCAGTTTGACGCCTGTTTATAAGTGTTGGCAGTTCAACAACGAACGTGCAGTTGAAAATGCATGCCGTGATTTCAGTTCCAGGAGGATGAATCTAGTGGTGCGCCCACAGCTTTGCATTGCTTGCGTCGCGCTGCGTCGGTGTCCACGGAGCCCGTCAATCAGTGGACCACGCCCAGAATATCAACGCAAAAGCGCAACGACAGAGGCGGTCAGACGGTCCACGCAACAGAACTCGGATCACACCAGTTTACAGCTGCGAGCCCCACCAGGGCCGCCGGGGCCTGCGACGGGCATACGGACACGACAGACATGATCAGACGGTCCACGTAACAGAGCTCGGATCGCACCAGCTTACAGCTGCGAGCCCCACCGGGGCCGCCGGGGCCTGCCGCGGGCATACGGACACGTTCTGTTTCGTGAACCTGCCCACCCGAGCCATGGGACACGATGCAGTGTGTTTTGCCGGGGGATGCCAGTGTGCCTCGGTGTGCGTCACTCTCGTAAGCTATGTTGGTGGGTGAGCATGACGGCGGGTGAGCTGTCTGCACTGCAGAATGGTGTCGGCAGCATCGGAGCCGGTATCACTGGCGTTTTTGCGAGACGTTGCGGTTGGCTGGTAGGGTCGAACATGCTGAGGGATTATGGCCAGCTGAGTCAGGTTATTTCCCATGCATGTTTTAGCCTGCATCAGAAATATCTGGCACGTAGCTGACGGCTCATTTTGGAGAACCTAATCCACTTTTTGTTCATTCTAGCCAGGACAAACGACACAGCCAGCAACGGTATCGAACGGCGAAGTGGAGCTGGCACCCGCAAAAACGATTACTGACGTGGCGAGGGTCGCTCTCAGCTGCACGCTACGTAGGACCTGGAGCATAGCTCACAAGAACGAGGCAAACACGCGGACGTCTTATCAGCGGTGCGGGAGGAGTTGCGGTTTGATAGCACCATGAGCCGGCATGGGCGCGCAGAAGGGCAACGATCGACCGGGACTGGTGCAGGGACACTGGAAATCTGCAGGACTATGACTGCGTTGATCCGCTGTTTTTCGCTTCCTATCTCAGCAAATGGTGATATCACTTACTAGCACGCAGTTGTCTTGTAAACTTATTGAAAGGGGCATCACACATCACGGGATATTCAACTCCACAATGGGTTGTTCTAGATTCGGTGACTGAGTGGCAAGTACTGCTATTCGTAGCAGCCGTCTAATAAAGCGATTAACCATATCAGTTGGTCAGCATTATCAACATACTAACTAGGGGCATACGCAAATAGCAGGCCACGGGGGCACTTGCCTCCCCTACCAAAACTATGACAGGTGTTTGCATTCGCGTGACTAGATGTTGACAGATCAACATTCTAGGAAGACGCGTACAAATCAGATCAGGAACACGCTGCGTTGTTTTGCGACACGCAAGAAATTGCGTCCGCCTGCGGTGCGGTTAACTTGATTTTCAGTGAAGCCTTTTGAGTGAAGCTTGTTGTGCCCCACCATTGCGAAATCCTGCGTACAGCCTTTTTAACATGATCGCCCCGCTGGAACACCGTAACTTGGCTGCACTTCAACTTTGCACCCGTAGGGTATCTCTGGATTCACTTAATGCATCGACGAATTGCACTAACTGTGCCAAAACATAGTCCCCTTTGCGTCCCGCCTTCGCAGGAACATCAAACAACACTGCATAAAATTTAGAACGGACAGTGGCAGAAGGCTTGTGCACATCAGCACAATAATGAATGGGACCATGGCAAAGGGGTCTTTCGGCATGCCGTGGACTGCCATCGTTTTACCTCTATCTGTGCCTTTTTACGTTTACCTTAACCCTGTTAATCTTTACCTTTTTACCTTGAACTTTTTACTTTCGCCTTCTTACCTTGGCCTTTTTACCCATACCTTTTGACCTTCACCTTTTTACCTATACCTTTTTGCCTTTACCTCTTCACCTCTCGGACGCTGAGCGGCGTAATCGACCCAGCAGTCACCTCATCAAGCACCGGTGTTTGCCCTCTGATGCGAGTGACGCTCGAGGCTGTGCATGCACACTCCACTGAGGACATTGCACATGCATGCACACTCCACTGAGGACATTGCACATGCATGCACACTCCACTGAGCACTACCACTCGGACATTGTAGTCAGCTGCTCCCCTTCATTAGAAATGATGTGCTGATGAAAGACCGGCTGAAGAGCAGATGCCCGCATAGGGCATCTTTCGCTACATGATGTATAACAAGTCTCGTTGGCATTGGGCTAAGACTCACGGCGACCAAAGCCCTTTTGCTGAATGGGCCAGCAATGCCAAGTGAGATGGAACGATTAGCGATGACTGGGAGCTCTGGGTCGCTGTCACGATGAATCACCCAAGACATTGGTGGAATAAGTTTACGTTAAACCTGCTACTTCCGTGTACCGTACTGTTTCAACAACTTGCATGCAATCTGCAGCCTGGTTGACTTGCTTTTAAATGACAGTCATGCCCTTGCTATAGAAGGAAATTAAACACCAGTCAAAGAAGAAGATGTGGCTTTAGTATTTTCCATGTCAACACGCACAGGGTTGCGAGCTCTATTTCAGCAGCCTGCAGCAGAGATATTTCCTGTCGGGCCTGCCACATCGGTGCATCAGCCACGTTAAGAGCAGTTCCGATACGGGGCGGGTGGGCCCACTCTTGACTGTCTATCACAGCCATGCATGTCTGCTGATACCAGCGATGTTCAGGGTCGTACATGTATGCTTGCACTTATCGGGCCCCACTCGGCCGAGGTTCATTGTCATGTCTGAGTGTTTTTTGCACCACCCAAACACGTTCTTACATCGTCTGTGTTTAGATACCGATATGAGAGAATCGGGCCGAACAAAGATCAAGGAAAATGATCTCCCTACTGCAAAGTTCAGTCTAAAAGTGTTTCAAACACTTTCGACTCTCCCAAAATGTCTTCTTGCTGCAGTCGTCTAACGTCCTAGGCCAATGGATTGATCCTGCGAAGTTATTACATGATGGAGATGCTTCTGAGTAGTAACCTAAAACATCTATAAATTTCATCGGCTTTGACGCTGCCTCTAATACACCACCGTCAGTGTGGGCCGGATGGCGAGACGTGACCCTTGTGGAACTTGAAGATCTGATGAGATCACCCACTATCTCCATATTGAAACACACGTTAGCCTGCGGCTCAAAGTGGCGGAACTGCGCTGATTGCGCCAGTTTGGTCGGACCAGCCAGCAGTGACGCGGACCCGACGCCAGCTGGTCCTCTGGGTGTGGTAGGGTTGACTGCCGCGGCGATGGCCACAGGACAGCTGCACACGTGGTGGCAGAGGCGATGCCACCGGCGGACGGTTGTGGAGGACGGATGGGGAATGGGAGGGTATAGAGGTGGACGGTTGTAGGGGACGGATGGGGAATGGGAGGGTATCGAGGTAGGAGCCGATCCAGGGGAGAGGCTATGGCAGTTATGCTCTTTACTTCCGAAACCTACACGGGGAACCTATGGGGAAAGAACGGCTGAGGTATCCTTAACATTGATGAGGATATCAGGAACGTAACGGACCTCCAAAAGCTTTACGATGACTTGGACGCTCAAAAATGACACAAGAACGCAGTTCTGGGTCCGCCCATGAACAGAGGGTGACTGAAGTCGATTTCTTTACATCATAAAACCTTAGCCGCGAGAGCGTGATGCCGATTTTTAATATGACGTCATGGGTCCCACCAGCACAGCTTACCGCGCTGGGGCGGAATCGGTGCCGTGATCCCGTCAGCATATATCCGTCAATGGGTCAGCTGGGGTGGGATCGCTGCCGTGATCTCGTCAGCACGCATCTGCCGATGAGCCGGCTGGGGTGGAATCGGTGCCATGATCTCGTCAACACGCATCTGCCGATGAGTCGGCTGGGGTTGGATCGGTGCCGTGATCTCGTCAGCACACATCCGCCGATGAGCCCCCAGCGCTCGCGCGTCTCAGGACAGCCGCCATGACACACGAGGTATCGCTCGGCTTTCGTCACGAGCCTTACGCAACGACATACTAGAAATGAATCCGTCTGCCTCCCTTCAACTACACGCGGCACGCGGTGTCCCCACCGGCCATGCGCACCGGGAGCGACTGCACCCGCCGACACACGGAAGGCGCTGTGTGCACGCCGCGCGCCAGATAAACAGGCGTATCTGGCCGATCAGGGCGGCCCGCGACGGGCGCAGCGCGTCGCCGGCGGCAGTGACGCCGGGCAGTGTCCCGGGCACTCACGCTCCCCGCGGAGCGACGTCGGCCGGGTCAGGTCAGGTCAGGGCAGCAGCAGAGGCCCAGACAGGTCACAGGGAGGTCATAGGGAGGTCAACAAGAGGCTAGCGGACGACCAGGTGAAGTTCAGTCGAAGTCAGCGGAGGTAGAAGTCAGGTCGAGAGGTCATCTGAGTGTCTGCAGAAGGTCAGCGGCCGCAAAAACCGACTACGTCACCATGGTGTGGTTACAGAAGCGAAGCAGGTGAGCGCGCGCGGCTACCATTGCGTGACAGCTAGTGCAACGTAGTGGCGGACATAATGCACGCAGCTGGCGCCGCGGCTACCATTGCGTGACAGCTAGTGCAACGTAGTGGCGGACATAATGCACGCAGCTGGCGCCGTGGCTACAGCTCATGTGCTGTTCTGGAGCGACGATTGCTAAAAAGACTGAACGATTGGACCTCTCTGCCCTATGTTTTTTCTGAGGAGTGCCACTGTAACACAAAACCTATGTAATAGACAAACGGCATCCAACGTCCGTCCGTCTGTCCGTCTGTTCTTGCGTTGTTCCGTACCCATAGCTCAGTTGAATGAGATGCCTGTCTTTCGATTCGTCGAACCGTTCTGGGGTCGGCTCCAATAGCCTTAAACACTCGCTGAACTATGCTCTGACTAAGTTATCCTCGAGCATTACGGCACGGGCTTTACCGCGAGATTCTGCCGTTGACCCTAAAATTCAGGATCGCATGTTGGCAACAAGCACTGCTTGGCGTGGGCGCTAATCCCACAAACTTATCCTATCAAAAATGCTCGAACTAGATCCGAAAAACTCACATTGTGACAGCAAATATTCCCTCTCATCACTGCGCGACGATGAGTCAATTTTTGTAAATAGTTAAGGGGGCTGAACCGATGGACCAAGGACCTACCTACCATTTTTTCCTCAGCGAATTTAGCCCACTTTATTTTGACGAAAGACAACTTATGTTTCAAGTTTTTAGCTCATCAAAATTTGTCTGAGCGGCATACTAGTCATGCAGGCGCGTATCTATAGGGAGGGGGAGGGGGGGGGGGGGACACTGAAGTCACGTGTCCCCTTTGATGAGGAGAAAGTGAAAATTCCCCCTAGAGGACGCCCGGGGGCACTTTACTGCAAGTTTACTGCATCGTTTATCCCCGCCATGTTTGCGATTTCTGTCTGGGGGTGGAAGAAACACCGTTTTTATTTCGAGAGGTGTGCTGTAGCATCGTTAAGCGCGCTGATCTATACGACAAACCCATGTGGTTTGTACCTGTGGGTGGTAAACATCCGGCTAATAAACAGATCCAGCTGCGGGGTTTTAAGGCCAAACCATGAGGCCAAATCACACGTCTTGCACAAATTTCATCTTTTATCCTTGGTTGTAAGGCACAGCAAACCGCGTAAAAACTGCTACTGTATTCAGGTTAAAATTTTTACGCCACACGCGAGCGTCATGCGACATTTGGGTCTGAACTGGGCATCTTTCCCCATTTTCCAGGTCAGCGATGTCATGACATCGACGCTGGTAATCAGAACATAATCACAAGCAGCATTAGCACCAATACCCAATCATGTACAACGACGCCTGTTGAAGAATACAAAACTACCAATGCTTGTATGAGATTGAGGCTGAAAGCAAACTGCTTTAATAAGATGGACACAAATCCGCTGTAGTAAAGCGAAGAGGTTGATGCAACTGTAGTATAGGGAGTGCTTGTACTTTTAACCTGACCGACACAGGCAGTATAAACTGCTGTTGCTCATCTGATGGGAGCGTAAATTTTCGCTGATTGAATGTATATCATATTATGTAAGCCATTTTCGTTTCATGTGTGCTAGTTCTTCATTAGCATAACACAACACAATGATATATGACCAGCATACAAAATAGGTGTGCCTTTGATGCGTAAGATCGCCCATCATCAAATGGTATCATTATCTATTGCACACGGCGAAGCACTTCTTCCTTGCACACTGAAAGTTTGACTTTTTCCCGAATCCTGACTCCATACAATGGTAAAAGAACGCAGCCAAAAATGACAAGCACATTGACCGCAGGATTCCAGATGAAGTTTATACATTACCCTGACATTGCCTCCCAAAACGTAAGGGATGTTAAAAACAATACCACAGATTTAACCCATGGTGTCGATTTATTAATCCAAGTTTAACTGAGCGTGACTGCTTCCTACGCGACCAGTGATATCTCTGGAAAAAATCAGTGGAGGGAGGTTACGGACATGCCTTTCTCCGAACCCGCTGGCTGCTCTGCACAAAGTACTCGCAAAAAGAACGTATATTGCCACGCAGGCGCACCAACCGTCGTAGGGGAAGCAAAGCTTCGGCCCGGCACTGAAGTATGCTGACCACGGACGTGACGTGACGAGGCGCGCAGTGGTAGGTTCGCCTTCCGGAATACGTGTCTGTACATGGCCCGTCAAAAACGTCATGTCCTTTCGTGCTATTTTGATAAGGGATCTAGGCGAAATAGATCGGTTGAACTTGCATTACTATAATGAGATGCTGTGTTCAGAATGCTGGTAATGAATTATGTTCGGCGCGGATTCATTTTGAAAATCGGCCCCACAAAGTTTTTGTATTGCTTTCCATATTGTTTCTCATTTCTAGCCGGACTGGATTTTTTATATGAACGAACAACGTTGAGTGATCATGAGACCTTACAGCAACACAATGCGGATTTTCAACTTGAAGTAAAACAACTTTAGCTTTGTAGTCTACCATGGGTAGAGGACCAAAGATCGTTTGACATGAAATTCTCCACGAGGCAGGTGAATCAGGGGAATCAATATTATGCCTGAGCTGCTTGGTGAGACAAAGCGTCTGTGCTTAAGTTTGAAGGACAAGACGAAAAGCAAACGTCAAACAGAAAATGGTTTACCCCCGATGTCTCGAGTTACCGCTCGTTTGAGGAAATAATCTTGAGGTTACGGGGTGAAGTTGGTCCGCTGCATCCTCCATGTCGAAGCAGTACGAAGAAGGATCACAGATGATGTCTTTGTGTGATAGATCACTTTTCCCAACGCTTTTTTAATATGCCAGCCAAAAATACAGGGTGCCGAGCCAACATTGGGGGGGGGGGGGGGGAGACACAACTCAGCAATAGAGTTTGGGGGTGGACAGGGCCCTCAAAAAAGCATACAAATTGACACCCGCACAATGATCACTTGAAAACCGCGTGCCATCGCACCATACATAATATAAGACATTGCACCATGGTGTTGTATGTAGTCGTATCCGACACATTACATCCGAACATCTTCCGCGCACAGCCCAGCACCGACCGAGGAGGAGCCATGCCTGCTGCACGAGAACCACCAGTACTACGGAGCGCTGACGGACGGCCCGACGGACGTGCTCATGATGCCGAAAGGTGATGCTTCATGGATCACTAACGGTGATCCTTGCCAGAGCCCGTATTTTGTGTTTAAACGAATGCGTAGCTATGGATCAGAGCTTAGGAAAGAGTATGAGAGGATACAAGACATTATTTCAAACCAGGCGAGATAATCGAATGCATGCATCAAAAGCTGTACAAGGTGTAGCAAACCTGACCTGAGCTGACCTGGCTCAAGCAGACCTGACATGATATCATGGGCCAAGAGCTACCCTGAACTAGATCTAGCCAGAACTAGCTTGTTACTTTGGCAGAAAGTATGACGTATACTCCCCAAACTCGGCCGATTTCTAGTCCATGGAAACATGACCTGCCCGACCTGTCCTCAGGCTGGGGCGCGCGCCACACGCTGGCCCTGTTCGGCTGCCTGGGCCTATTCGTGTCGTACGCGCTGCGGGTCAACATGTCGATGGCAATCGTGGCCATGGTGAACGGCACGGCGCTGGCTCTGACGGCGACCTACAACAGCACCCCCACCGGCGACGACGACTTCTGCCCGGGCAACCGCAGCTGGCAGCTGGGACCCGAGCTGCCTGAGGTCAGAACACACCTGGCCACTCTGGGTGCTCCAGCGCAGCGAGTTCTGGACATTCTAGGGGCGTCATCGGACACACTTTTGTCTCAGGACACGGAGAGCCGGGGATAGCTTGGTGAGCACTGGCAAGAAAAGAAATACGACAGTTAACTATTATTATTTTAAAATCAATAAAGCACTCAGCCTGGGCCAGCAGAGTAAAGTTATCCCCAGTCGTTATGCATGGGCGATGGTGCTGCCACCCAGCGGCAAGAAGGAAACTCAGCTTACGCATTGCGCTCGGCTGCAAATGGGCGGACCCAAAGGGGGAGGGGAGGGGGGGGGGGGGTCGCGGGGCCATGACCCCTCTCCCTTTGGCCCCGATGGGGCCCACTGGCTTCGAGGGGGCCCATGACCGGCCGAACAGGTGCAGTTTTTTCAACACTAAACGCAACAGAACTGGGTATCTCTGGACTTTTAGGTGACCAAGAACAGTTATGAGTGAAAGTGAATGGTCTGTAAGAACTCAACAAATTATTCAATGATTGGAAAAGTTGTAAACTGGAAATTTTAAGCCTCATTACACTGTCTAGGGGCCCCATGCCGTTTCCGGGGGACCTATATGCCCACTTGCAGGATCATTTCGATCGTTAAGGAGCGTTCCACGTTGCCCTTCATTTCTTCGCATTTGCCCGGAGGACCTTGCGCTGTTGTTGGGGCCCTTCCTGTTAGCGTGCCGGGGCACTCTTGTCAATAACGGGCCCTCCCACGGATTCTTTCCATTTGCCAGGAAGGCTCTGTGGGCTATAGCCGGGGTCCCATGTCTTAAACTGCCGGAGTCTTCTCGGTTGCTCAGGGGCCCTTCACGTGGATCTCGGTTAAATTACCGACACACTTGCGGTATACTCATGGGCCCTCTACATTGGTCTAGGGCGTTTCTAATTCCCTGTCACTTGCTTAGGGCCCTATACTCTTATCGGAAGCCCATCTGATGGCCTGCTTGCGCACACCCAGCCGTTCGGGGACCCTCCACACTGGGCCTTGGGTACTTCTTTTCTGAATGTTGGGCCCCATGCTCTTGCCGAGGCTTCATCTGTTAACCCGCTCGGGGACACTCGAATGTCCGGGGGTCCACTACATTGTGTCTTGTGTACTTCCTATCTGAATGGAGGGGCCCTAAGCGTTTGTTGGGGACCCCATCTGTTCACTGCTTCGGCCACACTGGATTGTTCGTGGCCCTATATTTTGGGTCTTGGTGTTTGAATTTAGGACCCCACATTTCCGTCTGGGCCACTTGATTATCTGCTCGGGTATACTCCATCTTTCGGGGGCCCTCCGCACTGGGTTTTCGCTACTTCTTATTTCAATGGGAGTCCCTGCGCTCTTGTCGGGCCCCCTTTGATAAGCTGTTCGGACACATTCCATCATTCTGGGGCATTTACATGGGGTCTTCGGTGTTTCCCATTCGAATAGAGGGCCCTACGCTCTTGTTGGGAGCCCTATATGTTAACCTGCTCGGGCGCACTCGATTGTTCAGAACACTACACATTGCGTCGTGAGTATTTCTTATTTGAAGGATGACCTTAGGTTGTTGGCGGCCCCATCTATTCAGCTGCTCGGGCCGGTGGAGGCTGCAGAGGGTGGGGGGAGGCACGGGACCATGGGATGACCAATAACCATTGTTATCAAAAGTAAGAAGCTCATAAGTAAACGAAGACCGTTCTTCGCTGATTGAAAAAGTGTTGCTTGAGGGAAATTTTGGGGTTTATTACGCTGTCTATAAGCATTACGCTGTTGGTTGCCTGGTCCTATATGTACACCTGCCGGATCAATCTGATCGCTAAGGAGCTTTCCACGTTGTCCCTGATCTCTTTGCATTTTCTCGTAGGGCTCAATGTGCTGTTGGGACGCTATCTGCCTCCATACCTGAGCACTGTTGATCGATCAGTTTTTCCTCCACGGATTCTTCCCATTTGCCCGAAAGGCTCTAAACACTTTTTTCCGGGAGCCCCATATGCCAGGGTACACTCAGTTGCTCAGGGACCCTTCTTATAAGTCTCAGGTTTTTTCCACTTGGTTGGAGGGCCTTGTGCTGTTGCTAGGGCTCTTATAAGGTAAGACACGGAGGCACTCAATGCTCAGGCGCCCTCTAGTTTGATCGAGGGCTCTTTCCCTTTGGTGTCCTGTTCGGAGGACTCTTCACTCCTATCGAGGCTTGTGTTGCTAATCTACCCGTGCACGCTTGATCGCACAGAGGTACTAATCCATGGTCTTGGATAATTCCCCTTTGCTCGGAGGGTCCTGTGCTATGGCCGGGGCTTTATATGTCAGCCTGCCGAGGCACTACCGATCGTTTAGGGGCCCACCACGTTGGCCTTGCGTCTTTCCGCTTGCTCTGAGGACCCTATACTTGTTGAGGGCCACTTTGTTGGCCTCGCGCGGCACCTTTGATCGCTCAGGTTCCGTCCCTATTAGCCTTGGTGCCTTCGCCTTAGAGCAGCAGCCAAGTATGCGCCGATGAATTTTTACGCGCGATTGCCGAACGTAATTTTACGTGCCACCAACGGCGTATATGTCATTTCCATTGGCTATTGAGTGTGTGACACTTATTATACTAATGCACCGTGTTCTTAACATATTTTTAAATGCTGTGATGTGTTATACTTCTCAATGACAAAGGAAAAATTCCGCATTAGTCACCAGCCATCAGCTGATTACATCGCCCAGCCGGCTAGCCGTAAATACATAAACTAGGAATAAAGTCCATGCTTGGTTTTGATGGTTGTTAGCAGCCAACTCAAGTTTATTTTGCCTATTGTTCCGGAACGATTATCCTCAAAATCACAGCGTTTAAAATGATCTGTAGAAAATGAGCGGGCTTTACCTGCATGCATGCGTGACACGCATGCATACAGATACTATGCTTTATAGGGCTGTGCACAGTAGGACAGGTTTCCGTATTTATTAAATAAATGAAGAAGTAAATATGTACATACAGAAATATATATATACATATTACATACAACTTGTCTTAAAATGTAATGACCGAAATACAAGAAGCTTTTGGGGAGGGGGTCCCAAACTCCAGGGGACACCACAATGTCCTGTGCCCCCCCCCCCCCCCGCTTGACGAAATCCTGGATCCGCCTCTGCGGCTGCAAGATAATATAAGCCAGAATAGCCTATAAAGGCCCCATTTATTCTGCGCTTTATTCCTCCATTGCGCAGCACGCTGATATAAGATAAAAGTCGAAAACAATATGCAAGGGTGTCGTTCTGTAACATCATTGGGGCTAAGAGGGGCTTTTGGGGCTTTTGCCGCTTCTTTCCATGTCGAAACAATTCTTTTCAGAATTGCGGAGACATGAGCCCCCTGAAGCATCCAACGGACAGTCTCGGCGTTACGTATTCGCACAGTACTACATCACACCAAATATGGGTGTTGTGTAACAATCTCACGTTCTGCGCGTCTCGAAATATTCTCAGTTGGTTAACATGAACATCAAAACGCCTCCACTCTTCCGACCACGTACTAGGCCTGGGCGAGGACCGCAGCAGCCCGTTCTGCTCTGTGTTAACAGACGGAAGCGGCGGTACAAGAAGGGAAGGGGCGGTACAATAGGGGAGGGGACTGTGAGCTAACTCACACCGCTCCGCAGGACGGCCCGTTCGTCTGGAGCGAGCTGAGGGAAGGGGCGGTACAAGAGGGGAGGGGACTGTGAGCTAACTCACACCGCTCCGCAGGACGGCCCGTTCGTCTGGAGCGAGCTGAGGGAAGGGGCGGTACAATAGGGGAGGGGACTGTGAGCTAACTCACACCGCTCCGCAGGACGGCCCGTTCGTCTGGAGCGAGCTGAGGGAAGGGGCGGTACAAGAGGGGAGGGGACTGTGAGCTAACTCACACCGCTCCGCAGGACGGCCCGTTCGTCTGGAGCGAGCTGAGGGAAGGGGCGGTACAAGAGGGGAGGGGACTGTGAGCTAACTCACACCGCTCCGCAGGACGGCCCGTTCGTCTGGAGCGAGCTGACCCAAGGCGTGATCCTGAGCGCCTACTTCGCCGGCTACACGGTGTCCCAGGTGCCCGGTGGTCGGCTGGCCGAGCGGGTCGGCGCCGTGCGCACCCTGGCCGGCGGCATCGGCGCCACCGGCCTGCTGACCCTGCTGACGCCCGTCTGCGCCCTCTACAGCCTCCACGCGCTGGTGGCCGTCCGGGCTCTGCAGGGACTCGCCAGTGTGAGTAACGCCCCAGGCCGGGTACCACGCGTGCTATGGACTCGGTTAGCGTGTCCCCCTCCCCCCGGTGCCCCCTCGCGTGGAATAATGCGTGCTCCTCCTGAGCAGCTGTTGAGCAGCTACTTCAAATAGCTATGTTGGTTTCAATGCTTGCCGTCCGTCCAGTACAGTGACGGCAAATTGCTAGACGACGCTCGACTTCGTTGACAGACCGTTCACATCACACTGTTTCCACATTTCTTGGGGAAATCTTCTGTGTCATTGCATAATAACGACAATGGCTGTATGTGGTGACATTATATATATATATATATATATATATATATATATATATATATATATATATATATATATCTATATCTATATATATACATTTAAGACGCTTAAGTACATACTGCATAACGGCCTTTCAAGACAAAACCAGCCAACACTTGTACAAACGCGGACACGATGGACTGTGTGACCCCAGCACTGTCAGGCGCCGCCCTCCCGGCTGCAGCGCCGCCCCTGACCTGACCTCGTCACCTGCAGGGCGTGGTCACTCCGGCCGTGCACTGTCTGCTCGCCCGCTGGGTGCCGCCGCTGGAGCGGAGCCGGATCAGTACATTCGTCTACGTCGGTCAGTGGGCGCGCCGTCGCGTCTCGCGCCGTGCCGCTCTGCAGCGCAGGCCCGGGCTTGGGTCCTGCAGTTGAAGCCCGAGCGCCGGCTTCCCCAATGGAAGGCTTTCATTGAGTTTTACCTGTGCCGGGTCCCACCTGTTAGATACCACATCAGCGAGGCATGACGCACGATTTGGGAAGCTCTTACTTTGAGATTCTTTTCTTCACGCCTGTTTCTTGTCGCCTCGCGTGTCACGGCACCTTCCTGCCGTTGGACGCCTCCCTCTTGCCGCCCCACGCCCCCTTCCTCACGCCTCACGCCTCCCTCCTGCGGCCTGGGACGTCACGCGTCCCTGTCTGCGCCAGGCAAGCAGCTGGGCACGGCCGTGACGATCCTGGTGGCGGGCCCGCTGGCCAGCTGGAGCTGGGGCGGCGGCTGGCAGGCCATCTTCTACGTGACAGGAGGCCTCAGCCTGGTCTGGTGTGTGCTCTGGCTACTGCTGGTGCACGAGAGGCCCGCCGACCACCCCCGCATCACCTTCAGAGAGCGCGTCTACATCTACACCCTCACCAGGCAGAGTGCGGAAGAGGTAGGTGACCGTGTGCGTGCGTGCGTGCGTGCGTGCGTGCGTGCGTGCGGGTGCACGTGTAAGCGCGTACGTGCGTGTACGCCTCACCTCATGAGAGGAAGCTTGGCATCTCTTCGCGAGCCGCAGTTGGGTGGATGAGTTCCGACGTTCACGTTGATTAATCAAAACCGAATGACGGGTTGTGGCAGGCAAAGCTCTTACAAAGCAAACCTTGCCTAGCAAACGCAAAGTCTGCCCGTGCCTGGCAAGGGATTACTAAAAGTGAGGCTTCATAGACATGCACGTTATTTCAAGTTCCCCCCAATGGCGACAGGCACTGATGTAGGCATGAAACCTGGGTTACGAAACCAGTTACAGCGCGTACCCACATCGCTGGATTTGACCGCATACTGCTGGACCATTTTTAGACACAGCCCTTGGACTTCCCGTGGAAGCAAGCTCTCCTGTCACGACCGTTCCAAGCTCTGGTCGTGGTCCACTTCTGCGAGAACTGGGGCGACTACCTCATCATGACGGAGCTGCCGACGTACATCAGCACAGCGCTGCGCTACCCACTCAACACTGTGAGGGGCCGCTGCACGCGCGCCACACAGGCCCGTGGTGGCGAGCGCCTGCAACGAGGGCGTCACAACCTGGAACGTTGGTAGAGAGATCCCATTTCGCAATGCTTGTAAAAAGGCACCGAGCATATGAATGTTTATACCCATTTGGTTAAGCTAATCTGTGCTAACTTACCTTTTTGCTTTAGGCTAAACACACAGCAATCTCTCGTACCTACCTCTTGATTCGCATCTCTTCGGACCCGCACTTACTCGCAGGCTCCATCACAGGATGCACGCTAAACTGACCAACGGTGACGGTGTGCCACCTTGCACGACACAAACAACAAAAAACAACAGCGCAACATCATGACCGACACCGTGCCAGATCGAACGTCGTGACTCCAGATCAGATAACTCGACACCAGATGGGACAACTCGACACCGAATGGGATAAGTCGACACCTAGTCGAGCGGTGTACAACGGAGCCTCAACCTCCGTCCATCCGTCCGGCAGAACGCCATGTTCTCGGCGCTGCCCCAGCTGGCCAAGGTGGCGTTTGCCGTGGGCGTGTCGTTCGTGGCCGACTGGATGGCGCGCGGTCGGCTCAGCCTGACTGCCAACAGAAAGCTCTGGAACTCGGTCGGTAAGTCAGCCAATCACGGGCTTCACGGCGCCTTCAGACGCCTGCTTCCGGCCCTGGGTTCGAGTCTTCCTCAGGGAAGCTTTGCGTCTGGCCTGGACCACTGTTGTCAGTCTCGACATGCGTTGACTTCACTCATGATATGTTTAAATTTGATTATTCCGGTGGAGACTATCGCCAGTTATTCATGGATCAAGTGTTAGTGAACTGCTTACGATATTGAGAGCCTTTGAGCCAGTTTGAATCTTTCTGTACACATTTTCAGACACGTCCCATAGTAGCATGCAAAACCCAAAATGGAGAGAACACCACCAAGACTCACGAGAGTGTACATTTACATAAATGCTGCAATATCCACACACGACAAACTATACACCAAGCCTCACTGTTTAGACAAGGTCCTTCCAAAGCTAATGAGCGACACGACAACGGCAAAAACTACAAATTACAAACTACACCATGACGAAACGTTTTTGTTACGCAAAGGCCTCCACAAAACTTCCGGCAATGACGATCCTTGGCTTTTTGCAAAATTGGAATTAAAAGAGGGATATTGTCACGTGAGATCTGACTATGATGAAATTATCTCCTATAGGGGTTCAGCCGATTTGTTTTGGGCAGCATATATGTGCTTGTCAAATCTTAGTCTAAATGGTCATTTCGACTTCCCTATGTAAGATACATGTGACACATGAAAAACAAGCATCAAGTCTTCACCCGACCGTCAAGCTCACCCTGGACGTTACTCACTCATCAGAGGAAGTAACATTTTGGGACGCGCTGGTATAAGTTGATGTGCCTTCAGATGACCGACGGGATTTTGGACAACACCAAACCATTCAGGAATTACTGTTGACGGTGCACCATGCCTGTCAATGTCAACAAAGAACGTTATTCGCTCGGAATTAAGACGAACCATGAGATTGTCGTCCAGCGAAGACATCAGCTTCCATTTATACCCCAATATCCAGACATTTGCTTAAGGCGAACGGCTATAATTTTTTTACTCGCGCACTTCATCAAGAAGCCGTCCATCCGCTCCAACGTCATCAGCCACCCCAACACCAGCGGCGGCAGCCGCCTAGATCTGAAGATTTTGATAGATTTCTTACTCTTACTATGTCGATGAGATCATGTGCACATAACTACCCTACCGTAAAAATAAAAATGTCAATATACGGGATGCGTCGCAAACACAATCAAGAACGTAAAAAACCTATCAGTGCATCCGGACTTTTGTGAACCTGAGTGGCCATCTGGTAGACGAATGCGTCATGCGTGATCAGCGGGGCTGAAATGAAAATGTTTGACGTCTGGTGTTGTATATCGTGTTTCTTGTGCTATTTGTTTGAGCAAAAGGGAGAATGTCTCTTTCGTAAGGAAGTCAAAGCGACAAATTAGGCTAACATTTAACGAGCATATACTTGTTAAAATACAATGGCTGAAACTCCCAAAGACGACCGTTTAATCACAGGCCATTATAACCACCTGACGTGATGGGAATACTCTAGATTTTGTAGAAAAACAAGGATCATTTTCACCATGGCTCATCTTGTAGTCTATTCCAAACCGATACTTTGTGTACAATTTGTCGCGTGTGGATATTGTAAAATTTGTGTAATTGTGCACTCTGGTGCCTATTTGTGATGTCTTAGGTTTTGTGTGTGACCATGGGCGGTGCCCGAAACCTCTATCAACACATGGCTTCTAACTGTCTAAAAACTCTCAGTAGTGTAAGGTGTTAGTTAGCAGTTCTTTCATGACAAACTGATTGATATGTATTACATTTTCACTGCGCTAAACAACCTTAAAAAACATTGGATCGCATATAGACTACTCTCTTGTGAATGTCATACACAATGTGATGAGGCCCATCAGGAGTGAACGACACGATGATAAAAACACGCTCTTTAACTTTCATGCTTTATTTGTTTTTTGCCCATCAGCCAGCGTTATGATCGGTCAGATTAGTCACTGATTGTCAGTGTATGGATTTCCCATGCTTTAGGCAGTTAACGTGTTTTGTGTGTCACACACAGGCCTGTACATTCCGGCGCTGGCGCTGGTTGGAGTTTCCTTCGCAGGGTGCCATGATGCTCTTGTCCTTTCTCTGATGGTCGTCACAGTGGGCTTCAACGGCGGCGTTCTGTCAGGTAGTTTAGAGGATGAGTCAGAAATAAAACACTAGCCGATGCGACAGTGGGCAATATTTGGACAACACTTAAACAGCAACGACAGGTCGATGTAATTCGTGTGGCTTTTCAGAGGAGTGCGAAGATATCTAGCTCGTGCTCTAGTCGTGCTGGAAATCAGTTCTCCTGTCGCATTCAGCTATTCATTAGATATTGTTAAATTTTGGTTCCAACGTATCCAGGCAGAAAATTGTGGCAGTATAAGTGAAATTTGCATGCGTTGGGTACTATGCCAAGAACCTTGGTGCGGGTTGAAGAATCTGTAAGAGACAAGGGTTGCGAATCGTCTCTACCAATGTATTCTGATTCATATGAAGACTACCCTCGACGTCGAAAAGGCCCTCCAGACGATGAACAGTGGTGTAACACATACATAGACCCTTGCACCGGCGAGTCAGTGAAAGAAGAATACACTAAAACCTTTGAAGTCTCATGCGGTCAGAAATACGAGGTGGAAAAGTGCGTTGTTACCAGAAAGCCGCCTGAACCCCGATCCCCCTTGTTCACCGCCACTTCCCAGGAAGAAGGTTTTATAGGCCTCCACCGAAGTTGTTGCCAACCCTGCTGCAAACCCGCGATTCCACCATGTCCGCCGCCTGTCAGAAGAGGCTGCAATTCCCCAACGCGTGTTCCCATGTCCGGACAGTTGACGAAGGTAGAGAGCAAGCTCGGCAAATTGGGACTGCAGGTTTCGTAACGTCGAAAAGGCCCTACAAGACGCCATCATAGCTCTCGGTAGGCTTCGCTGAGTGGAACACACCCAAAACATATATGACCTTGTTCCAGTAGCTTCCTGACCGAGCCACAAAATGAAACAGCTCAGCAACATCCGGCAGTTGACAGATATTTGGGTGGTTGTCTTTTCAAACGCATATTTGGAACTTCCTAGAAAGCTCGCTATGTTTACCAAAAGGGTTGTAAGTTATAAACCAACTCAGCCAGATTTCGTCCTTTCGTAGGGAAGGACTTAGATTGTTCACTGACATTTTACGTCTGCATTATTGTGTTTCGACTCCTGTGTTTTGTATGCTTGCCGCGCAAGACGTCATCAATGCTGCAATATATTGAAGTTGTATTGAAATTTGACCCTGACTGCAGGTTTTAGAAAAATGCATGCGATCTCCAGCCGGTTTCACGCTGATTTAGTTCATAATTACGCAAAGTAAAAACGTGATGCATGTGCTTCACGTTCAAAAATGAACCAATGCATATGACGCTGCAAACTGACCGCTCAAGGTAAACTACAACATTGACACGTGACGAGAACAGATGATTCATTACGCATCAGTTCTTTACGACTTATCTAGGCCCTGCCAGGGGATGTCATCCGTACAATTTAACACTATCGAAAAGGTGGCAACATCGAGCTGCGTGAGAAAAGTGGTAGTCTGGACACAAAGCCGGCATGACGTCATATACAACATATTTGATGACATCAGTGGAGCGGAAACAGCTCATTCAGTCAGCTGGCTGCTGTATCGCCCATTACTTTGAATGTTGGGCATGTCTTTTTGGTGGCGTGCGGACGCGGTTCACGGTTTGACTGTGAATAAGTGGTTCACAGTTTTGGCATGCCTTTTAAACATACCCGTTAGCTATCCTTGGCCCTGCTCCTGTTTGGACGATTTGCCCTTTGGTTTTCCCGAAACGAGGTGTGCCGTCATCAATGCGCGCACCTTACGATATTTTCTGAGGGCTGGCGTGCTACCTGACTGGCATGCTAGCCAACAGTCACCTATTTAGCGTGTTGCAAGTTGAGCGCAGTCATACTTTGCTGTTGTACAAAATTTCGTTTTCTTTTTTGTGCCTCAGCAAGCCCTTCGCTGAGTTCATGAAGCACGTTGAGCTTCAATGTGTATGAGTAAATAGATTTCGCTCTTGACGATTTGCTTCTGCAGATCCCCCGAGGTAAAACTTTCGCCATCAGTATGTAATGTATGGAGTCGTCATACCCCTCCATCAGCAGGCTCTATTCACGTCGTCCATGGCATGGATCAGTCCCGGCGAGGACAGTCGACCATAAAAATTCATAATATCTATGAAGCCGCGTCCACGAGCTTGTTCAGGGTAAGACCAGATTAATACGGAGCATCATTGTGTATGACCCAACTGGTTCTCTCCATGTGTCTAAACACCTAGTAGGCATGCGATTACCGTTCCACTGATCAAGCCGCCAACGAAGGCTGATCCGTCTGCAATTTGTGGCAAGCGGCAGCACGTGCAGAGATGCACCTCCCTTCCCTCTCCATGTGTTCCGTGACCGATTGGCGGGGGCGACCTATCACGGTGCAGGGGGGGAGAACGGTTAACTGTCAGACGGACTAGCCAATAACCATTGTGCACTGGCCCTGTGCCACTGCATACAAAAATATGTAAGTGACGGGTTGCTCCACTCTAAAAATGTTCCACCGCCAAAGCCGAACGCGGTCCGATTCGTGGCGCTCCCAGCCGTTCGCTGCCATGCGGGGGCTCGGCGCCACGCCGCCGCCACGGCGCCCCGTAACCGTGGCAGGAGTCGTACCTTATCTGGGCTGCGTCGGCCGGCCGTGCAAACAACTGCTCCGGGTAATAAGGCCAGCAGGCCAAGCTACGCGGTACAGCGCGTTCCAGGTCATCGCCTCAAGTATCGGTCGAGGGTTCAGGCCCCATTCGCTGGTGAAGAGTCCCGCCGCGACTGCTGCTGGCGAAGCCGTACCTCCACTGACTGAGGTGCATGCGACCGAGTCTGCTCCGCCGACTGCTCAGTCTTAAAGATCACAACTCGTGACACCAGCCATCTCCGAAGGCGAGAGGGTGTATGAGTATGCGCCGGCGTGTCCCTTCCTTCACTGACTCACGCGAATGATGGGAATGACGGGAACCTTCACGGACGGGAATGTCTCAGTTCTACGCACGATTCGTAACACTAGGCGCTCGTCACGCCTCCACGCCCTCCACCAGTAATCCCCCCCCCCCCTCCCGACAGGCTACAACATCAACCACATGGACCTGGCGCCCAACTTTGCCGGCACGCTCATGGGCCTAACCAACTGCGTGGCCACGCTGGCCGGCGTGCTCGCGCCGTTCCAGGCAGGCTACGTCCTCAACCAGCAGGTGAGCACGTCCGCTACGGCCGGCGAGTACGCCCGACCCGGCTGCAGGAGGCCACACGAGAGGCGGCACGGAAGAGCGCTGCACGAGCTATTAGTTTGAAGTGATGGTCCATTGCTGTCAATGTCACAATGTGCGATTTACAATTTCGTTTGGCCCGAGAGAGCAAGAGGTCTGCTAATGAGGCACGCCTCAGTCCGCCAGGCGGTGCATGACGGGGCCCTCTTCCATGTGTGCATGGAACGAGCAGCGGTCCCAGTCGGAACATCTCGTCTCATTGCCGTCCTAGTTGTTGGACGTGAAACATCTAATAGTGCCCACAGCGTTCCCATCTGACAGTCCCTGGTGCTCCTCAGCCCTCCCTGGCCAACTGGCGAACGGTGTTTCTGACGGCGGCCGGTCTCTTCGCCTTCGGCAACACCATATTCTGCCTGTTCGGCTCGACCCAGCTGCAGCCCTGGAATGACCCCCTGCCGACGCCCTGTCTGCTGGTGGAGGAGGACCAGCAGCAGATCCAGCGCAGGGTCCGGCAGACGGCTGTCCTGTAACCGCAGTGTTCGTGACCCCACACAAAGGCGCCGAGTGGACGATCACGGGTCCATTTTGTATGCTTCCAGAGGCGTATCCAGGCTTTGGTATCGGGGAAGCTGCTACGGCTACGGCTATGGAATGGCTTTGGTATATAGGGCAGCGCATCACTGCCGCATCGTTGATTAGTCTCGTCTTACGGAGGTGTTGCCAGTAGTTTAGAGGCCACAACTCCTGATCGCGATACGATGTGCCCGCGGTTCGCCATTGTCGCCACCCACAGCAGCCACCCCACTGATGAGGCGGGGTGTGACGGCTCCGGCTCGCCTCTCAACGGGGAACCTTCAGCCGGCTCGCAGCGGACTAAGCCGCGGGTGCAG